GTCTGAGGCATTGACAAAAAAGGAATGGAGAGACGTTATGAAAGAGGAAATGAGTGCTTTAGAAAAGAATAAAACATGGGAGATCGTTGACAAACCAAAGGAAAAAAACATTGTTGATTGCAAGTGGATTTTTACATTAAAGTACAAGGCTGATGGATTCCTTGAAAGATATAAGGCAAGGTTAGTAGCGAAAGGGTACACTCAGACTTACGAGGTGGATTATCAGGAAACCTTTGCTCCAATTGCAAAAATGAACACTGTGAGAATCTTGTTATCATTGGCTGTTCACTTCAATTTGCAACTGCTACAGTATGATGTAAAGAATGCTTTCCTTCGTGGTGACCTAAATGAGGAAATCTACATGAACATCCCTCCAGGACCTGAAGGGGACACAGATAACAAGGTGTGCAAGCTAAAAAGGCCATTTATGGGTTAAAAAAATCTCCTATGGGTTAAAAAAAGCTCCTAGAGCATGGTTTGACAGATTTGCAAAAGTCATGAAGGAATTTGGGTATAATCAAAGCCAATGTGACCACACTCTTTTCATTAAACATTCAGCTGCAGGGGGAGTGACTGCTCTTTTAGTCTATGTGGACGACATCATAGTGACTGAAAATGATGAGAACGAGAAGCATGAATTGAAGTTGAGACTAGTAAGAGAATTTGAAATTAAGGAACTGGGGAAATTGAAGTACTTCCTCGGTCTTGAGGTGACATATTCCACACAGGGGATCTTCATATCTCAGCAGAAACACGTGATTGATTTATTGACAGAACCAGGGAAGACTGAGTGTAAACCAATCGCTACTCCAATAGATCCAAACCATAAGTTGGGAGAAGCTAAAGAAGAACCAGCTGTGGATAAACCAGAACCAGCTGTGGATAAAAGAATGTACCAAAGATTGGTTGGCAAACTCATATATCTTGCTCACACTCGACCTGACATAGCATGTTCTGTAAGTATGATCAACAAAACCCCTAAGGCCTACCTACATATATATATAACCAACCCCAAATTAAGATATCACTATTCCAACAATCAAAACACATAAGTACTCTTTTCCACATGCAAGTACAAAGTCGGCTTATGTTACAAGGCAACAATCAAATCAAGCCACAACTTAATACTCTGAATTAACAGAAGATCTTCAATTTTTTTATACAAAAAAAGAAAAAAAATCACAAAATAGTGATGGCAGCCAAATTAATTCAACGACTTAAAAAAATTATAATATAATACAAAATTTTCATTTTTTTTTATATAAACAAAGAAATTTTTTTAATAAAATGGAAAAGAGTATTTATGTTTAACCAAGATAAGTTCATAAAGTAAATAATTATTTCTAAGAAAACATCCCAACAACTTGAATTTTTGTAAAAGAAATTTTAACAGTTAAACTTATATAAGATAGTGTGGAAAATTAACAAAATAATTTGTATTTCTCCTTATTTTTGAATTGATCATACAAGGTATTATATAGGAGATTAAAAAGGAGAAAAACTAGGAAACTATTTAACTAATTCTCTTAATTTAAGGAATTATAAATTTATTCTAATTCCCTTAATTTAAAGGATTTACCAATTAATTCTAATTTCCTTAATTAAGGAAATTAGAATTAATTGGTAAATCCTTTAAATTAAGGGAATTAGAATAAATTTATAATTCCTTAAATTAAGAGAATTAGTTAAATAGTTTCCTAGTTTTTCTCCTTTTTAATCTCCTATATAATACCTTGTATGATCAATTCAAAAATAAGGAGAAATACAAATTATTTTGTTAATTTTCCACACTATCTTATATAAGTTTAACTGTTAAAATTTCTTTTACAAAAATTCAAGTTGTTGGGATGTTTTCTTAGAAATAATTATTTACTTTATGAACTTATCTTGGTTAAACATAAATACTCTTTTCCATTTTATTAAAAAAATTTCTTTGTTTATATAAAAAAAAATGAAAATTTTGTATTATATTATAATTTTTTTAAGTCGTTGAATTAATTTGGCTGCCATCACTATTTTGTGATTTTTTTTCTTTTTTTGTATAAAAAAATTGAAGATCTTCTGTTAATTCAGAGTATTAAGTTGTGGCTTGATTTGATTGTTGCCTTGTAACATAAGCCGACTTTGTACTTGCATGTGGAAAAGAGTACTTATGTGTTTTGATTGTTGGAATAGTGATATCTTAATTTGGGGTTGGTTATATATATATGTAGGTAGGCCTTAGGGGTTTTGGTCAAACCACATAATAAATTTTTATGCCTATGATTTCACCTTCTATACTTCTCTTGCACTTTATTTGCTACTATGGTAGTTTGTGTGTTTACTTCGTTCAATTTGTGCTATCATCTTTGTTGTTGTATGAGATTATAGTTTTTTAAAGTTTTTTTTAGCTTTATGTGGTATCATAAGTCAGCTCTGTACTCACCTCGGTAAAAGAGTATGCATGTTGTATTGATTATTGGGATGATGATATTTTAGTTTGGAGATTAGTTATGTATGGATGTAGGTCTTGGTGGACCGGTGGTTTTGGCCGAACAACGTAACGTATTTTGTGCAAATTATCTCAGTTCTTATATTTTTTTGCACTTTATTTACTACTGTGATGGTTTGTGTGTTTACTTTGATTAGTTTGTGCTATCATCTTCGTTTTTGTGTGAGATAATGTTTTTGCTGAAATTATTTAATCTGTAAAGTTGATTAATATTTTCAAGAAACCCAATTTAAACACTCCGGCCTGCTCTCTTTGATTGCCATTGACTCACTACCGTGCTGACACTTAGCATTAATTGACTGCAAATAAGATGCTCAAATATAACCAGGAAAATATCCTTAATTAAGATTGATCATTATTCCAGCTTTATGCATGCGGTTCATGAGATTCAACTTGAATGTTTTTTTTTCAATATTTTTTTAAACTTTGTGATCGACATTCACACTATTGAGCAAAATTGAGAGGAAGATTTGGGCTACCCTCCGAGAATGGTTTTTTGTGCAACTCCGGTAACAATAGTTGAAGATGGTTTTTATGTCTGCAAGCATTTATCTAAGGTCCTCGAATTGAACTTCATTTATTTTTTTCTTATTTGATTAATTTGTATTTTTTTAAATCATATTCAATTTTAAAATTTAAATTTTTTATAAAGATTCGACAATTCGTAACTTTTTAAGTTGGAAATGCATGGCTAAGATGGATTGCTATTGGAATTTAGTGATTTTGGAGTGCTTATGCCCAACTAAGCCATGCTAAAAAAATGAAGCAAACGAAACTTCCAGAGTAAATTTTGTACTTGTAAACTGTGAACAATCTTTTCTTTAATATAATGATTATAACATTATATAGATTTGGTGAACATATTTTTGTGAAAATACTCGGCTGAAATATGAATTGCAAATATGGCAAAAACATTTGTCGAATTTTTAATTAAGTATATAAAACTTACTTTTGATGACAACAGTATTTACTAATGAAAAAAATATGCGAGACATGTTCATGTTGATATTATTTGAAAATTTAATCCTCATATGGATTTCCATCTAGGTGTAGAACATTTGTAGCTATATGACTGAGGGAAAATGAAAATTTTCTAGAAAAAGAAGAGAGTTTAGTTGTTCTGGTTTCTTTGCAGGCTGGGCTGACAATTAAAGTCATGGCATCTGGCAGCAGCTACTTCGATAGCATGGTGGAAGACGTTGAGATAATTGATCCACCAAAAGGTGAATCGACGATGGATTTGGGTGAAATTGGGAATGATCCGACACAATACCAACCAAAGTCCAATGTTTCTGTAGTTAGCAACGTGCGAGAACTCCTGGAGTGTCCAGTATGCTTGAATGCTATGTATCCCCCTATCCATCAGGTATAATTTGCCATTTTATGATGTTTTATTTGTTTACTGGTATATGCATCACACATTCTTTGACCCAGGTTTGTGTGACTTATATTGCTGTCTATACTAGTATGCTATATCCACAGTTGCAGTCTTTGTGATGCATTATTTTCTTGGGGTGATTTGCACACACTACAAAAATCTTATGTATGTATATATTTGAAAATGCTTCCTATTTACTTATACGCCACCTTATTTTCTAAATCACATAATATATATACTTGAAAAGGCATGTTTTGCTCTAAATAAGTTAAAATTAGTGGTTATTGATTTGCTTTAGAGATTTGAATGCTATATAAGCAATATAAAACATTTTGATGTTAAATATGTAAGTAATTTGTGGTATGTATGCAAATCCCCTATTTTCTTATTATCATTAATGTGAAGTATTTATATTGGAATTACAAATATCATTTTGGTGAATCACATCATAGGACTTCAGAAATTTGATCGCCTACGAAGAAAAATTGGAGATTTTGCTGTAAAAAGATGCATTGACTATGAAGTTCAATGTAGGATACAATGTTTTATATTAAAGGTTTAATTTCATAATTTCCTCTCCAACATCTCTCCAACATTCATCCTTGTTGAACATCCCGACTCATCGTTCCTAACTGAGGCACTTCTTAATTTGCCAGTAATGCTATAATTTTTAATTTGAAAAGGAGTTTCGCAACACATTCGTTAAAATTTGAAATCTTATTCGAAATTACCTTGAATTTGCTTGTATTTTTTGTTGTAGAAAAGCTGCGTGGGAATGGTTAAATAAAGTTTAAAGTAATGACATATGTTTAAATATCTCCGAATTTTCTACTTTTGTTGCATAATGATAAATGCATTGCTACTTTAACTGTGTTTTTGAAGTGCAAAGCGCAATGTGATGCACAATACTATATTTTTTGCTTCAAAGCGCAAAGCGAAGCGACGCTTTTGTTAACCAAAGCGCTAATAGGCTATATAAAATGCTATTATGTAAATGCATTCATGCACAATTATAAAATATAAAGTATGACTTAAAAGATGATATAAATATAAAAGAATGATAATGCTTTACTTGAAGACGAACATTAAGGGCAAAACTGCGAATTAAAGTTTCAAATAATTTCTAAAAATTTGATATATTAATTAAAAAAGTAAAAAAAATGCAACTTTTTAAAGCCTTATTAAATCAGTTGGTGCACATATTTAAAAATCGATTGTCATTACTGTAAAGGAAGTTGTGATCACTTGGCGCATAGAAATGAAGAAGAATATTATGTTTTTTTTTATGCATGATATTATAGGATGATATGCTACAAACAATGTTAACGACCCTCTAAATTTTTTAAAATAAAATTAAAAGGCTGAAGCATATAAAACAACAACAACAACAACAAGCATACAAAAAGATCGTCCTCCAGTTTGAACACAAATCTTTGTATCACGCATTAACCTGTGTTCAATTACTCTCTCCTATAATTTAGTTGTATGACCATTACCTTAATTCTTCTATAATTTACACACTCTTGAGCATCTCCTTTACTTTTAAAAATGGGGACCAAAATACTTTTTCTCCACTTCTTAGGCATTTTTTTAGTTTTAAAAATACTATTAAAGAGTTTAGTAAGTCAAGTAACTTTCAAATCTTCTAAATATTGTTCCCACTTCAATTGCGATATCATCAGGTCCTACTGATTTTTAAATTTTGGTTTTCTTTAAAATTTCATTAACTTCTTTTTTAGTTATGCGACGATAAAAATAAAAATTTATTATTATTATTATTAATGATATTAAGATCACTAAGGTTGATCATATTTTCAGAAACTACATTGAAAAATTTATCAAAGTATATCACCCATCTATATTGAATATATTTTTCTAGGAAAAACACTTTTTGATTTTCATCTATAATACACTCTTACTTTTTTTTCTTTTTGTTTGGATAGTTTATACATATATTTTTCACTATTTTCAGTATAATTTGTTATAAAAATCCCTAAAAACAAAATTCTTAGCATCATAATTTTTTCTCTTAAATTTCTATTGGGCTACCTTATATTTTTTCAAGTTCTTTAAGCTTTTATATTTAAACTAATTTGTATAACAAAAAAAAATATATTTTTTCTTTTCTTGCACATTATCATTCCACCACAAACTATTTTTATTTATAAAAATTTTTCTTTTTGATTCTCCAGATAATTTTTTTTGCCACTTGTTTAGTACTGTTTTTTACTTTATCTCGCATAAAATTAGCTTCTTCGTGAATATCCTAAATCATGAAATCTTGAAGTTTACTTATAAAACTAGTTTTATGTGTTTTTTAAGTGATTCCATCTAATTCTATGATAATGTTTCCTGATATTTTTTATCTTCCAACATCTCATCTTAAAATCTAGAACTAATAATCATTGTTGAGTATTTAACCTTTCAATTGGACTGATCTTGACCTTTTTGATAATATCTTTTTCTCATACGGAATATTCAATTTATGTTTTATTAGATCCTTTCTTATAAATAATAATATGCTCATCTCTTTTTTTACATAAAATATAAGAATATCAAAATCATAAGCTAAATCAAAATCTAAAGTAGTATTACTTTCTTCATTAATCTCTCCAAACTTGTAGCCACTATGAATATTTTTTTAATCTTCTATCACTTTACTGGAAACAGGTTCATTTAAATCTCATCCAAAATATATTATTTATTTAAGAGAGATCATTTGTATTAATTTTTCTGAATTATTTCAAAATTTTTCTTTTGAACCTATTTCTAAACCTACTTGAGGAGCATAAACACTTGTACCATTAAAACTCTTAGTATCAACAATATTATTTAGGGCTACAATTCTATCTATAATTCTATTAATTTTTACAATATTGTTTTTCAAACTCTTATCTATAATTACGTCTACACCATTTTTGTGTGACTCGTACCAGAATACCAAAATTTAAAACTTGAGCTATCTTTTCAGTTTTTTCGTTTTATGAATGCACAATATATTTTTTTGTTTCATGAACCATAATATTTACTAATTTTATTAATTTATCTATGAGAGTATATATATGCCAAAATCCTATTCTAATGATAGTTTCATAAAATAATATTTTTACCTGCATCCATCTATAATGTGAGAACCCTTGCCTATTTGGCAGTACACCTGGGCACCGGTGTAGTGACCATTGCACACTTTTCATTGTATTCAAGCCATACAATGCGTTGCTTCTAGAGGCGCCCTAACATTTACATAATGATTTAAAAGATTTATTTCATGATTTTCGATAAAGAATTTACATTGGCTGTCAACAACTTATTACAACACTTCACTTTCTGCATCCGGGTAAAAAATTAAGATGAAACTTCAGTGTAATTATGAGAAAATTAAAATAATGAGCTTAATATGTTCATATTTCGTTAAGTATTAAATCATTAATTTTTTTTGAAATTAAAAATATATATTTTGTTGAGATATTGATTATAGTAGATATGGTTATTTGCATAAATAAGATTAACAAAGAAAGGATTTATTTGTTAAAATCTACTCTGAATTAGTTTAATAAGTTTGAAAATATATAGCAAACTTGAATTAGCTCAAAATTCTACTTTGAATTAAACCAATATGGTAGGAAAGTTAACAATCATAATTTCACTATATAATTTCTTAAAAAAAAAGAAAAGAAAAAGAATTTTGTTTTTAGATAAGATTTACGTTCATGCTACTTAATTCAGTAGTTGTTGAAGCTATTTGACATTAAGGAAAAAATATACATAATCAATTACCTAAATTCAATATTTTATCCTCTAAAAATTTGAGTGACAACTACAACAATAACAACAACAAGCCTTTATCCCACTAAGTGGGGTCGGTTATAGAAATACTTTTTCTCCATTGCGCCCTATTGAGTGTCATATTTTCATGTAAGTCTAATAAATTAAGATTATTTTTTCTACAATATGCCTCCAAGTCTTTTTAGGTATACGCTGCCTTTATTAACGTAAGTTGAATCTAAAACATCATCTACTCTCTTAACATGTTCATCAGATGGACGATGTTTAATGTGACCAAGCCATCTAAGACGACTCTCTATAATTTTGTCTGCCACTAGTGCAACACCGACCCTATCACAAATATATTCATTTTGCATTTTCTCTCTAAGTGTCAAGCCACTCATCCACCTAAGCATTCTCATTTCACTTAATTTTTTTTATACTTCTCTTTTAAAGGCCAACATTCTGCGTCATAGAGTATTGTAGGTTTTACTACCATCTTATAAAATTTTCCTTCAAGTCTAAACGATACGTTTCTATCACACAATAAAACCGGTACATTCCTCCACTTCAACCAACCAAGTTGAATTATAGTGATAACATCCCCATCTATATCACCATCACTTTGAACAATAGACCTGAAATATCTAACACGTTCACACCTTAAAATACATAAGAACAGTGTTGTATGAATGATTACCCTTAAAATTATGTAATTACATATATGAAATCAGAAAAAGTATAAAAAATATACTAAGTATAATAACTTCCTTATGCCAAACAGGCTGCGCATTTTATTGTTTACTTTGTGAAACGGGCAGTGGCATAGTTTCGAAGGATGGACCTCTTGAAATTGATTAGTCTTTTCCTGCGGTCATAGGCGTTAGTGTAGAACAGCGGCGAAGAAGGCGTCGGTCGAAGCTCTCGAGCCCTAAGCAAAATTCACAGCAACAACTTCCTGCTCCTTCTAACTATAGGTGGCAGTTGAAAGTTTTGTACTGCTCTCCAACGTGAGTAGGAAGATGGAATAAAGTATTTACTATGCTCTTCTCCCTTGAGCTCTCCTGATTTCTTACTCAGTTGCACTCTATACCAAAGAATAAAGCGAAGCCCATCAAAGAGTTTTTAGTTGCTCTTGCTACTGAACTGGACCAATCACCCCTTTGACCGTTTCAGCAGTTCGATTCGCTTTGTGGTTAAAATGTGAAGCACGCGCTTCACTC